GAAGCTAATAATAATGACAGCAACCACAATTATAGCGGCTGCTGCCGTCAGTGTATGCCAGGCATGCTGCCAAGGATGTGAAGTACACTGTTTTATTTACTCCTCACCGTGGTCCAACAATGTCTTTTACAAAGGGGAAAACTGGAGCAGAGAGAAGATTAAGTGACTGCCTACAGTCATAGAACTAATAAGTGGCGAGTTCAACCTTGAGTCCTAACTCCAGCTCGGATCCTGGTGGTGGCAGAGCGAGGAGCGGAGTCCAGGTCTTTGAAAATCCTTTCTTATCACCACCACTCCCTCCAGATACAGCTGAAGGGGGACAAAAGGTAACTGACCGCATAAACGAGGACTGAGAAATGAGAAAGACATCAACAACCTTCATTTCCAGAAATCAGAGAAGATATGATCCAAAGAAGCCAAATTTAAACCAGACTGTTCTCCTTGACCTCTAAACTCCAAACCACGTGGCGTCTCCCCCGTCATGCTATTGTTTGTGACCCTAGGATATCCTTTCTTACCTATAGCAAAAGGTTTATTATTAAGTAATTTAACAGGCCGGATGTGGTTCAGGTATTCAACACTCTATGCCGTGTCCCACTAAACCATGGCCTAGTAAATTTACAATTACAATATCTTTGGGTTGTTGTTTTTTAATAAATTCCTTTTAATTGCAGCATTAAACCCCAGATGTCGTGTTTCCAGGTTTCCAGTTTGGACCTGAGCCAGGCTGGAAGAGACGCCCAACCAAGGCCAAGGGCTGATAAGGCGAATGTGTGCAGTGAACTGGGGGGCTCACTTCAGTTGCTTAAACCTCAGGCTCCATGCCCCCCACTCGCTAGTCTGAGTGATAGACAGAAGTTCCCACGTCTCCTGCTGCGTCCACTCCGCCCAAACACCCACGTTGACTCTGGTTGTTTCTAAGAGTAGAAATCCCTATAAGTTATTCATCGCAACTTAAGTAACGTACTAATTTCATTTGATAAATCAGTTGTCAACGCCTTTAGAAATTGATCACATAATTAGGAAATCTATGCGTTTCGACCTCTTCTTCCATCCAGATGAAATCATCACAAAGCCAGACTGCAATCAGACAAAAGGGATTTTGAAACTTTCTAGGCCTTCTTTCTGGTCTATTATTTGCCTTTTTAATTGCTATCTTTTACATTTTTAAGCTCCTTTTTTCTGGTAAGGATTTAACTTCTACTGAAATGTGAAATGAAGGTTTTGTCTGGAAACCTTCTATTAAATATGAATATCAAATTTTATTAGAAATCTGTCTCATGTTTTTATACAGAGATGCTCACAGCAGTTTCTTAATAGTAAAATTTTAGAAATACCCTAAATCAACGAAACTAGGGAATAATTAAGCAAATTATGATATTCTAGTCAATGGAGCAGTCATTTAGAATTGTTTACCAAGAGATTGTAAAAACATCCAACAACAGGATATAGAGTTGTATATAATGTACCACAAACACATCTCTAGATTTGTTTGGTCTTTTAAAATTAAACACACACACATAAAATCAAAGTCTGAAAGGAAAATATTCAAAATTAACAGCGGTTATTTGATGGGTAATAGCCCTGTGAGTGATTTTTATTTTTCATATGGTTTATATTTTTTAATTTTCCAGGGAAAATTATTACAATAATTAAAAATGTATGTGTGTTTGTATATATTTTAATGTAATCATTCAACACTTCAGCTGTTTGGCACTCAACTACCTTAAAAATCTGAACTGTTGCTAAGATCCTGGAAGTAATAAAAAATTTAGTCTGAAAAAGAGTTAATTCTGAGCAGCCAAAACTAATGTTATAGAACTCATAATAAAGCATATTATGCCCAGGACATCTGCTGGCCCATCACTGAAATCCTGTTTACTTTTACTTTGCACACAATTCTCAAGACATCTACGTTACAAGAACACAGCAAATTAGAAACAAACATTTAAAAAAAAAAGAAGCCCTGCCCAGCTAGTGTGGCTTAGTGGTTGACCAAGAGGTCACCGGTGATCGGAGCACATGCCCAGGTTGTGGGCCCGATCCTCAGGGAGGACACACAGGAGGCGGCCAGTCGATGTTCTCTCTCATCCATGTTTCTCTCTCTCCTTCCCTCCCTTCCTCTCTTTCTCTCTAAAAATCAATTTTTAAAAAAGAAAATACCTTTTTTGTTCAGCTTGCTCTTTTTAAGATTATAAGAAAAACTTTACTAACAATTTTTGAAAGGTTTTACAGCACATGGCTAAAAGTGAGGAAAAAAGACAAATCTGCTGATTAAAGGGTAAACTTTAGCTGTGTAGACTTCTTTATTGCCTATCCTTAATTACACATGTTCTTACCGTTCTTAAGAGGGAACACATTTTACTGTTACTGGAGTTTTCCAAATTGTATCTCAAATTATCATTACCTAGATTCTCATAAAAACTCCAGGGAAATGGAGAAGACTATCTCAAAATCAGGGTGTCAGAAAATATCAAAGCCTCTACCTCTCAAAAGCCTAGGAACCTGCCCTGGCCGGTTTGGCTCAGCCGTTGGAGCATCGGCCTGCGGACCAGAGTCTGGGGTTCGGTTCCCGCTAGGGGCACGTACAAAAAAAAAAAAAAAAAGCCTAGGAACCCGTTCTTTAAAATAGGAGAAGCACCCCAGAGCTTAGATCTAGGCTGGACTTCAGTGAAAAGGCCTGTAGCTTCAAGTGGCACTTAGCAAATGTTGTTGAATATGAACATGGTTTTTCTCACGTGGGATACAGCAGACTGCGTGGGCTCTAGAGTCAGAGCGAATGTGGTTCAGATGTAGGTTCTGCAACCTATACAAGCCACAGAACCCACTCACCCGCCTGCCCTTTTCACAGGGTGGGTTCAGCGTTAAGGCTGCTCAGGAAAATGGGCTTCCCGTCCCATTGTACTTGCCGGGACGGATGTCACACTTGATTAGTCTTCTGTTGTACAAAGTTGAGGAGCGCTTTTAGGGTTCTCAGAACCACAGAGGACTACAAACCCCTTTCCCCTGGGCCGTGAGCCCTGCTTGTTCTGTCCTGGCTGTTGCTCGTGCTCGGCCTTTTACCAGCCCAGCAGGAAAGCAGAGCAGGATTGGGGGGGGGGGGGTGCATGGCATTCACCCTTCATAGCCACGAGTGGCTGAAACCTGGCGTCCAGTCCCAGGTCAGCAATGTCACCTCCACTGTTCCAGCCCGGTTCCCCTACTGCCTCCCACCCCTCCTAGGCGGGGGTGGAAACTGCCCAGAATAGACTGTGGGTAGTGCTGATGCTCTGTTTTGGTTTGGTTACCTAGGCCCCCCGTGAAATCATGTAGAGAGGGACACACTGCTGGCAAGTGGTAGAGAGAAAACAACAAGGTTCGCACAAATGTGCAGCTCACCCAGTTACTGCGAATTTTCACGACATATTCACTGGAAACCTAGATTAAGGCCAGCGGATTTTGCTGTTTTGTCTTGTTTTTCTTGAGAACTAAAAACAGTAATTTACTGGTGTGCTTGCCCAGTTCTCTGCACCCCACTGACCACCCCTAATTATGAAATCTCTCCTGGCACCAACACTTACAGCCGAGCAGAGTTGTCTGACGGACCCATGGATTAGAAGCCTCGTGGTTGCCTTTGCTCAAGAAGAGTAACCCTTGCTTTCGGCGTCTGAGATCCCAGGGGTAACCCAGCGTCCGAGAAGATCTGAGGGAAGGAGCAGGAGCTGGTTCAGGGCTTGCGGCTGTGGACGCAGGTAGAAGGAGCACTAGAAGGAGCCATTGCGACGTGTGTTGTTTCAGCGATTGCGGACTCTCCCCCACAGCACCGGAAGCGCCTGGGTGGCAGGCCTGCCTGTCTCGCCTTTGTGTCCCATCCCGAGGCCCCGCACGGGCAGGGGCGGTTTGTTAGCTGGGGCAGTCTCAGGTCTACCCTCCGCTCAGGCCTAGTGGTCGCCCTCGTGCAAACCACTTCTTCATGTGGTTTCCTCACCTGAAGAACACACGAGTCTCAGGGAGCGTGTGTCCGCCTCCCTCGGTCTCTGGCCCAGTCTGCTCCTTGAGTTACATTGAGCGAGGTGCATCCAAGTACAAGAACTGTGATCAGTACTCAGGGTGGTTTCACTGGCACCGTATACAACAGACCATTATTTCCAGGTCTGGACACTCTCTTTCCATTATCTAATTGTTATTTATTATTTCAGACTTAAGAGTAGTAATGTATACTCTGCTTTCTTGACAAGGTTTTTGTAAGGACCATATGAAATGACGTGCATGAGATTATTTGAGAAACTAAAATTTGTATCGCTTAATGATTATTACTGCTGGCCAGAAGTATCTTCCAGAGAAGTATCTCAAGTTTGAAAGAAAGTACTTAAGACCGAGCTTATAAAATGAGTATGACTAGCCTTGTAAAGGAGCAGTCATTTCCCAAGTCAGGTTTTCAGTAAAACATCCTCTCTCTGTCAGTTTTCTAACCCAAGGTGATTAGCATTTGGGTATTGGAGAGGCTACTGATCATCCCATCATGAGGCATGAGCTTCCGTCCAGGGGTGCCACGGCTTCCTTGAGGTACCATGGCAACCACGCAGCTTCTCTGCCAAATAAGGGGACCTGCTTTATGAAGGTAAATAAGTTGAATTTGAAAACAAGAATAAGAATACAGATAGCCCCTCAGATATCTAAACTTGATTACATCTCTTACATATTTTTCTTTCCAGATTCAATCCCTCCAGTTACTTCAACTCTTCCTCATATAACATGGTTTCTGTCCCCCGTCCTACCCTGGGCGTTCTCCTCTGCACGTGTGTCATTGTGTCCTGATCCTCCTTGCAGGAAGCTGCCAGAGTTGAACTCGGAATGCCTCGGGTAGTTTCTTCCCTTTGGACACTACAGTTCGTACCAAGAGTGATTATTATCAATTTTTATCTCAAACCTAAACATGCTATTTCCTGTCTCTGGATCCAGAAGGCTAAAACTGAGTCCTGAAGTTGAATGTTAACTTCTCATTTCTGTTTGTCTTCTAGCGACAGACATCACACCTCCAGTGCAATCCCTGTTCCAAAGAGACAAAGCTCCCTATTTGGGGGTGCAGATGTGGGCTTCTCCGAGGGCACCCCTTCGCCAGACAAAGGACACCGAAAACGGGCCAGCTCGGAGAACGAGAGACTCCACTACAGAGCCCCCCCTCCCAGCTACAGCTCCGCAGTAGCCCAGCCTGTGACCACCATCCCCTTCCTGGGAGAATCAGAGAGAAAGACAACACCTCTGTCCTCCTCCTTGGATACCTCCTTGGACTTCTCCAAAGAAAACCAGAAAAAAGGAGTCGATTTAGGTGACAGCTTAACTGGAGGCCACGGGAGTGTGAATACCAGCCAGGAACAAGGAGAAGCCCTCCCTGGGCATCCAGCCACAGTGAATGGCTCTCTCCTACCCAGCGAGCAGGCGGGCACCGCCAGCGGCCAGCTTCCGGGTGAGTTCCAGCCCGTCTCAGAAGCTGAGCTCCGCTGCGCCGTGGAGCAAGCAGAAGAAATCATCGGGATGGAAGCCACAGGTGTCACCTCCAGTGATCAGCTCGAGGCATTTAACTGCATCCCAGTGGACAGCGCTGTGGCCGTGGAGTGTGACGAGCAGGTTCTGGGGGAGTTTGAAGAGTTCTCCCGAAGGATCTATGCACTGAATGAAAACGTGTCCAGCTTCCGCCGTCCACGTAGGAGTTCTGATAAGTGAAGTGACAGGCAGGCGGTAGGACCAGGACGCGGTTCCGCCTAAAATGAGGATGACGCTGCACTGGTTACCCTTTGTAATGATTACGACAAAATAAATATTGATGGAGGGCGTTCCTCAGAGAAACAGACTTTGTGGGTGAAGGAGGGACTCGGGGTCCTCGTGCGTCAGTGGACCAGGCAGAGTTAGCTTTGCTTTTCAGGCCTGGCCGTTGCTTAAGGCAGAGTCACTGTCTAGCTCAAGTCCCTTACAGGTTTGTGTCTGCTTTTTTATTTACACGTCTATGCTATCCTCAGAGGGAAGATGATAATATATAAATAATATAATGAACTCACCTTTAGTTTCTCAAGCATTTGCCCTCACCAGTTTATAAAACTTTGGGAAAATTGAATGTTTAGAAAAAGATTTCTACCATTTACTGAAGGATCTTGGCCATCCACTGGGCTGATGAATACGAAGCACAATAGTCTCCTTAGACCCAGGCCCACCTGCCCCTGCCTGCCCCAGGCTCCATGGGCAACCTAGAGGTTCCACTGTTGCCCATTGTGCAGTGGGTGGGTTGTGCACCCTGAAAACTGAGGACATCAGATTCACTGGTTCTTGTAGCTCTGACCTTCCACCTCCTCTTATCAGCCCTCCAGTTAGGTGAGAAATCTCGTCTTCGGTGGATCCCAGGGGCCAAGGACCCCGGGGTTGCTATAGTCAGATGGCATCCAATCCCCTTTGAGGGCCAAAGCTTTTATGTGGCAGAGGCTGCAGTCAGAACTGGGCATGCTCCCTGGCAGTGCACCCACCAGTCGGAGCCCTAGTGTGGATCCCATGTGAATTTGAATTAAGACACTATATGTGATGAAATAATGTAGAGTCAGGCTGTCCAATGAGCAGGCTGTGAGGCCGTTGAGGTCGTTGACTAAGAGACTAGATGAGGCATAGAATACTATAGGTATGTGTGCAATTGCATAAATATTAAATTATGTTTTTGAAGTCCAATTGTCATTCCTGGAGCTCAGATTTCATTTGCTATTGCTTTATATTTTATATACCCAAGGACATCGCCTCAGGGTCGCAAGCTCTTTAAGGAAAATTTATCCATGTATCCATGTATTGTATAGAAGAATAAAAATTGAGTGTACTTCGCTCGACCTGGTTTTTTTTCAGCTTTGAATTCCTCTTGGGACTACATCTCCATGTGTTGGTCATGACAGGACCTGCCTGGACAAACCCGGGGCTGTGTCTAAGCTACTGACTTCATTCGAGTTTACAGATTGTCACAGCGACACAGACGCCTTCCCAGTGCTCTCTCTGGTGGCCGCGTTTGTCCTCCATACATCTAGCTCACAGGCCTCATACTCTCATATTTTGTCCTGGGCTTGGTTTTTATTTATAGCCACATGTGAAACGGAATAGTTCATGTTGTTATTTTCCACGTAGAGAGAACTCACAGAATCATTGCCCAACAGACAGACCTGGTTGCCAACCTGCAAGCAGTTAACAGCTTTAACTGGATCTGCAGAAATCCGTGTGAATTCCCCGTAAGAGGTGGGACGACCCCAAAGCCGGAGCAGAAGCCGGCGGTCGAGGCGCAGCTTTGCCCTGTACTGTCATTCACGTTAGTCGGAGAGGGTGGAGGTACGCAGCCTGGGATACACGTCAGACTGGTCTGGGGGCCCTCCAGTGAGGTGACAGTACCCCCCCAAATGTTCTTGAAGGACAGTGTTAAGTGTTGAACAGTGGGAGGTGAATCACGTGACTGATTTCCCAAGACCTGGGAGTGGACTTGAAGCTTGATGCCAAACTCAGAGCCAGGTGTGCCAGCCGCCGGCCTCCAGCCTGGCTCCGGCAGCGGGCATGGAGGGCCCACTCATCTCAGGTTCCACACGACCGGATGGGACTCGGGGGCTCCGTCCGCCCGGCCCTCTTTGTGACTACCTGATTCTGGGGTTCGCAGCTTCCCCCCAACACGGAGCCCTGCGTGAATGTGACTCCAGTGCTCAGAACTGATCCGTAGTTGCCGGCACTTGATCCACGTTGTCCAATGATGTTACTCCTCAAAACACCACCTAGGTTCGGATTTGTTTGGTTTGCGTTTTGTTTTCATTTGAACATTTTTGATATCTGCAGTTTCTGCTGTGACCTGGGTAGAACCTATAGTATCACATGTCTCCAGAAATAACTGTCCAACGTTTTCCAGTGCTACAGAGTTCGTTCTGCCTCTGTTTAAAGTGGCCATGGCCAAAGTGTGGGATGAGTTATCACCTCCTAATCTTCTTAATTAGTCTTGTAAAACACTAAAAAGATCCCATTTGCTTTGAGGATATACATTGAAATGAAAGCTCACTTCCATTTCTGAACGACAGCGTTCATGTGGCTGAGACACATTTAACAGCCAGCAAATGTTATCAAATGAAAATTTGATTGTGTTTTCGCTCTCCACTTCCTCTTACCCACTTTAGAAATTCCAGAGATTTTTTCCCCCCTCAGAATATTAGTTTTGGAAGATTGTATCCAGCTATATTTTTTTAGCAGTTCTAATGGTGCCCATTTATCCTGACCTAGCCTGTTATTTAAATAATTTTTTAAACCACCACCAATAATAAATGGCATGTGAAACTGATCTGTTGGTAATTGGAAGAAAACGCAGCATCTGTATTTATAAAATAAAATTGATTAGTATTTATTTTGAGAGTAAAAGTGTATGTTATTTCTCTGCTATGTTTGAGTCCTGTCTTCTTCATTGTTTTGAATTTCATATTGAAGCTGAATTAAGTAAGAAAACCTTGTTCTCAGTCAGCCAGCCATTCTGCATTTATTGAACTGGCTCGCTCCCTCTCTCTCTCTCTCTCTCCCCTAAACAAGGTTAATACAAAGTTGAATAAGCCTTGACCTCTGCCACCTTCTCTAGTGGAAGGTGAGGGGATAGTTATATATCCATTATAATTCAGTGTGTTAATTACATGATGGAAGGATGCACACCCATCCCGTGGAGTGCGGAGAAAGCTATTCTGACTCAAGGGTCAGGGCACGTTCATGGAGGGTAATGCAGATAAAAGCTATGTCAGACTTCACATTACAGATGGAGGGAGCTGCATGGCCAAGGCCAGCGGCAAGGCCGTGTGTGTCTGCAGAACAGCAAGGACTTTGCTGTGCTTGGGGTCTCAGTGGACGTGAAGAAGGGTGAGAGGAGAAACTGAATTGCGGCCAATGGGAAGGACTTGGTGCCAAACCCAGAGATTAGCGTGCATGCAGTGGGCACCGCCTGGGTACCCTTCCCGGGTTTTAGAGCAGAGCAGTAACTCGGTTAGACTGAGGCTGGACTGTAGTGATACGTGTTTGAGTCTCTTTAATCTGTCCTTCTTGTTTAGAAAAAAAAGATCTGTGTCTGAAAAAGAGGTGCACCCTGTGTCCCTCGTGTTTCAGGGCAGATACTGGACAGCGCACTGGGTTTTGGCCGTGTGGCAGGTGCAGCCAGCATCTCCTCTTGAGAAGTGTCGCTCCGAACGCCCCACGTCAGCCCGGACGCGATGACCCGGTCAAGTCGGTGTACGTTTAAGGACTCCCGTTTTTTAAATTTTTTTTTATCCTCACCCAAGAACATTCTTCCATTTTTATTCAGGTAGAGTGGGAGGGAGAGAGAGGAAGAGAGAGAAACACGGACGAGAAAGGGACACATAGACTGGTTGCCGCCCGCACGACCCCAGCCAGGGCCGGGATGAACCTGCGACTCATCGGTCCGCAGGCCGACGCTCTAACCACTGAGCAAACCGGCCAGGGCAGGACTCCCATTTTTTAACCTGTAAAAACTCGGAGAGAGGTCTGCCTTCGCCATTCTGTTTGTATGGGGCCTGCGCCATCGGTGTTGGTTCCCATTTGTCCCGTGGGAGGCCACTGCCTAGTGACCGAGGGTCCCTGAGACATGTTAACACCATTTCCTGTTCTGGCCTTGGGCACAGCCACTAATCTCTGAATCCCACTCCTGACCTGTGATGTGGGGATTACACCCACGCACGCCCAGGGTTGGACAGTGTGAAAGAGAGAAGCATTTTTCAAAAAGCACTCGGCGATCTTCACAAAGCGCCTCGCGCGTTGGGAGGAGTCGGTCACTCAGCGGGTTTCCTGTGTCGTGTGTCTCAGGCTCTGGCGGGACAGTTTCTCGCCCTGTCCACATCGAGGATGTGTCAGGACTGAAACTTCTGAAAAACTCCAAACAAATGTCAAGTGTTTCAGGTGCTTTGGTTGGTGGCATGGACACCGTGCTGAAACATAGCCTAGGAGCCTAATTAGCTTAATTTCCATGTTTCTTAACACCCGGCAGATGAATTTCCTTAGCCCGCCTCCTCCTGCAATACACATTCGGCCGCCTCACCGGGTGGTGGGTTGGTGCCCAGAGCTCCTCATTTCACTTGAAGTAGATAGAAGCTTTTTTCCCCCTCTTAGCACATCTAATTACAGTTTTGTAGGTAGACAGCTCAGCCTTGTGGATTTTAAATGAATAAAAAATACATGTCTATAAAGTCATTCCACACATTGTAGAGGCCGGCAGTGTCAGCAACCCAGAAGAAGAGTCGTGAATCGAGATAAAAATGAAAAATTCAGCCAGTGTGTGATAGCTGTAGCCCGCCAGGCCCAGGCCCAGAACTACAGGGGGAGCAGCAGGCTCGGGTTCCCTTGGTTTTGTACAAAACACAGTTCTCACAGGCTTCTCTCAGTCTCCCTTAGATCACAAGCGGCAGGTTCGGAATGGAGAAGGGGGGTGGACGAGCGTCATGAACGACCCGACTCTGAGGACCGCGTATGAGCGGTCAGGACGGAAGCAGTCTGCGCAGCGTGAATGAGGAGCCCTCAGCCTGACAGAACAGCCCGTCGGGGTTCGGAGCCCAGCCCCGCCGCTCCCTGGCTGTGTGACCCTGGCACGGCGCTTGCCTTCTCTGAGCCCGTGTGTTCCTGCTCAGCCCCTGGCTCAGGTTGTCCCTTGGGCCTGGACAGAGACTCCTCCTGCTCCAGGGGTAAATTTGTATTCCTTCAAAACCTACCTCAGATTGCCTTGGGGCCCAGAGCCTGGCAGGAAAGAAGAGGGCCCTTTCTGTCACTGCCTGTTGTGAAGAGCGTGGGGCCGGACCGTCTAACAACAGCTGCTTCTGGTCGGGGTTTTGTAGGCAGCTGAGTAGCTACCACCCTGCCATCCACTCAGATCCTTCACACGAGGGTTTGTGAATATATAACAAAGATTAATAAAAGAACCAGCTTTAAAAGGTCAGATTGAATGTGACTTATTGTTCCTAAGGATGACCCTCGGTCATTGGAAAAAGGGTAAATTAATTTTAGTTCTGTGGCTGCTAGTATCACAAAAAGAGAGAAAACCACACATTTTATGTCTCCTAATGAGAGAACACAGCGCCCGTGAAGTACTCTTGGCAAATGCCTGACCCTACATAGGATCCACCTCTGTCTGGTGCAACAGACCCTGGCCACGTGTGTCTAGTGATGGAAAAGTGGCCAAATTTAGATGTGCAGTGAGTATAAAATACATCATGAATTTCAAAGACTCACAACATAGGATGTAAAGAATTTTATGTTGATTTTCATATTGATTACATGTTGGAATGTTATTATTTTGGATATACTGAATTAAGTAAAATATTAATCTCATCAGTTTCTTTTTACTTCTTAAAATGTGACTATTAGACAGTCTAAATGACATCTGTGATGTCTGTGTTACACTTCCCGCCAGCCCTTTGTACACTTTCTCCAAGGCTGTGTCTCGCTGGGTGTCACCCCGTGGGCTGTGAGCCCCAGCGGGCGGCGCCTGCGCCGAGGCCCGGCCAGTGCTCAGGGGAGTGTGCTAGGACAGTGTCAGTGTGCTGCGTGCCCTTTTTACAGAGGAAGCAGCTGAGGCCCAGAGAAATCAGTGTCATCACAAAGTCCCCAGAGCTAAAATGTGACAGAGCTAGGGCTTGAAACCACAACCTTTGAGTCATTTCTCATTACATCTGAGCTCAGGCCACAGTTCCCTTCATTCATTCAGCCCGTTAGCATTGACTGGGCGCCCCCTGTTGGCCGGGCACTCACTGCAGGGGGGGCACTGCTAGGAAGAGGGAGGAGCCAGCCCACTTTGCTC